AAGGAGGGAAGTGATATTTGAGGTGCGTGTGGATGGACAGCAGATGAACAAATATGAGAAGAAAACTTGTATTTGGTGACTCACTGTTGGTGCATATGAAAGAAAATCAGCCTTGTTTTAAAGGTCCAATCAATGTTATAAAATAAGTCGGGAGAAGATGGCCGTCTGCAGGAACGTTTTTCACCTTACAGATTTAGAAGTCACCCCGGCTTGGCTATTGTTAGCAATACCGGTTTATAACAACGCTCTATTTAGTATTTTGTGAATACAAACATGGTAGCAACATATCCACAGACGGAACATGAGCAGTACCATACAGTATGTACACTTGATTTAATGTGAAACAAATAATGCAGAACAGCTACAAATGTTATCTTCTGACGTTCACATAGATGAACAGTTTCTTTAACAAGGGGTCACAACATGTAGTATTGGGAACCAAAAACTTCCGAGACATGTTTTGTATATATCTGAGACCTATAATATATTGATGAAAAACAGTATAATAGGGGACCTTTTAAGTCTCATATTTATATCAAATCCAAGGTCCTTATGCCTCTTGCTAGATTAGCTTTTGAAACACTGGAGAATATGAGTGTGGAAAGAGAAGGGGGGGTTGTATTGGAGGGCGGGGGGGGGGCGGGGGTGGTTGTCAGCTGGTTCGGCCCGCTCCACTGAAGCTCGGCAGGGTTAGGCCTCCGGTGCTTTCAGGTGATTCCAGGTCAGTGGGAACTGCTGGAGGTTCCACGTCGACACTGCTCATGATTGGCCGCTGAAACGCACTCAGCCAAGCTTCATGTTGGAGCGCAGGGGAAGAAAAACAGTAGAGGAGGAGGAGGAATGTATACACAGGTCAACTGTCAGCCTGAGCTTTCATCACATGCTCCGATGTACAGGATAAAGGCATGGACTGGGGCCTGAAATAATTCCCATTTAGTCAGTCAAGTGTGAAATACACACAGCGTATGAATCGAGCTAGAGCTTCCCGTTTTCCTTTGCAAAGAAGCCTTATTTCCAACAATACGGGTTGCATACGGAAGCTTTCTAACCGCTCATGTTGCCCGATATCCCTTATTACTTTACCATGAGACTGGGTGGAAATACAGCTCCAATTATTTCCTACTCTTTTTATTTTCACCTTATATCCAATGCCTTGTTTTAACACGTTGCTGGGACGAAAACATTTCCCATATTGAGATCAATAACGTAAATCTTTCCATATCGCTCAAGATGAAGCAGTCAACGGCAGATCATTGTGTTTCCGTGACCTCTTGGAGACATATTAATTATGATTTCTATTTGTTATGACACCATCATAACAATGTTTTTTGTATATTCAACAACTGTCCTAGCAAGAGATGGTTTGATATGAACAGCCTTCTCGTTGGACTCTATTTCTGAGTGATTGCAAATGTGCACATGCAACTAACTTAAACATCGTTTAGCAGATTACATATGACTTTCATCCCGCTTGATTGCTGTTGAAACATCACATAATTCCACGTCAGCGGCCAATTGGATGCAAATGTCACCGGTGAGCGTAGAACTAGAATACTGTTTTGACTGCCGCTTGTGCCAGTTACTATAATTACGTTTAACACAGAATGTCAAATTGCTCTATATTTGGCGATGATTTTTTTCCTCCAGGGCACATTTGGCTCATGCTGCGCTGCTCCTAGAACATGCCTGTGCATAAGTGGGCTGAAACTTAACCCCTTACAGGCCGACGCTCAGCCATAACACAGACTGGAGGAATGCCAGGCCGCTGCTGTTAAACAAAACAATATCTGCGCTGAGACCATCCAGACACTTTTTTTCTTTGGCACTTTCCTCTCCAGGTAATGTCACGGCTTCAAGCATGTCGTAATAGAAAGAGACACATTGTGTAACGGAGTGTATTAGTCAGTCTCAGGTGGCGTCACACACTTTCACACACACATATTTACGAGCAGAGGTGGGAAGGTGTGGAGTACAAATACTTCGTTACTGTACTTAAGTACATTTTCCTGGTTCCACTACTTATTGTTCTGACGACTTTTTACTTTTACTTCTTACATTTTGAACACAAATACCTGTACTTTCTACTTCTTACATGTTGAACACAAATACCTGTACTTTCTACTTCTCACATGTTGAACACAAATACCTGTACTTTCTACTTCTCACATGTTGAACACAAATATCTGCACTTTCTACTTCTTACATGTTGAACACAAATACCTGTACTTTCTACTTCTTACATGTTGAACCCAAATACCTGTACTTTCTACTTCTCACATGTTGAACACAAATACCTGTACTTTCTACTTCTTACATGTTGAACTCAAATACCTGTACTTTCTACTTCTTACATGTTGAACACAAATACCTGTACTTTCTACTTCTTACATGTTGAACCCAAATACCTGTACTTTCTACTTCTCACATGTTGAACACAAATACCTGTACTTTCTACTTCTTACATGTTGAACACAAATACCTGTACTTTCTACTTCTTACATGTTGAACTCAAATACCTGTACTTTCTACTTCTTACATGTTGAACACAAATACCTGTACTTTCTACTTCTTACATGTTGAACCCAAATACCTGTACTTTCTACTTCTTACATGTTGAACACAAATACCTGTACTTTCTACTTCTTACATGTTGAACACAAATACCTGTACTTTCTACTTCTTACATGTTGAACACAAATACCTGTACTTTCTACTTCTCTCATTTTCCCAACAGCTGGTTCCTTTAGTCTGAATGTGTGTTTGATGCGTGATCATTATTCTTTAGAGTCATTGCGTGCCTATTGATTTGAACACGATCCGTGTATCCATCATGTCCTGGTCTTCTCTAAAGAAGAGGGACCAATGGAAACGTTGTCATGTTGCCGTTGTTCAGCATGGAAACATTCATTAGCTAACAATTACATTATTGTTCTATTAATATAAAGAGAGGTCAGGTACTCTTTAAAACAGCTGCTAGTTATGGGTACTTTTTACTGAAGTACATTTCAAAGCCTCTTTACTTTTACTTGAGTAAAGAAGTTTAGTCAGTACTTCTACTTTTATCAGAGTATTTTTAAACACGAGTATCTGTACTTGAGTAAAGGTTGTGTACTTTTGCCATCTCTGGTATTAGTCAGTCTCTGGTGGCGTCACACACTTTCACACTCACATATTTATGACAAGTGGTCACACACAAATGTAATGGATGTTCCCACGCCTACATTTATGAATGCACAAAACTTCTCCCCAACACAACACTTATACACACCCAAACACACCCCCCCTCTCTCCTCTGGCAGCCTTTCTTCACTTCCTCCCTGCATTTGTCACCACCTCACCGGTTGTTTCACAATCATTGTGCCAGGCTCAGCGTTGCCTCATTCAGTCGGTCCCATCAGAGTTAGCTCACACTCTCCTTTCAGTCCAGACACTGGATTTATCCTTCCACCATACAGCTGCCTCTTAATCACCCGGGGTTTTTTCCCGACAGGTAAGCCCTTCAGAAACAATGATGTCTTGTGAAAGGTGACGAAAAGATGTTAGTCATGAGTTATTTTGGGTGATGGGGGAGGTTGGCGAGGGGTTTGGGTGTCTGCTACGCTGAAGAAATGTGAAAAATGTGCAGGTGATTGTGATTACTTGTGGCTGTCTGCAGTATGCCTTCCTTTATTAGGTCCCGTGGTGCCATATTAGGAAGTTGCGATGTATTCTTGTGAGCTAAGAATGTCTGGAACAATACTTTGACACAATATATCTTGATTTTATTCTGGAACATGCTTTTACCCAATAATTTTATTGTATTTTTATCCAGATTTTACTTGATTTTGTGGTAGGTTTTGATACTTTTTGTCATATTTTTACCTCATATTTAAAAAAAATGTTTAAACGTATGCAAGCAACACCTGGGTCCAAGACTAATTCATTTTTTTGGACAAAAGCTGATCTGTAATAGTTGCTAATGAATGCATCAATTAGCTTAATGAATGACTTGATTAGCATAGTTGCTCTGTATATAAGGATGCTAATTGGCGGACACCTCTTGTGTCAAAACACTGTGTTGACATTTAGAGCCCAGTATTTACATATTTATGAATGCTAATGGAGTATTTGACATTAGAATGAATGTGTTTTTGGTCTTGAACCAGCAGATTCAAACAAATGTTGCACCGCCAGAGGAAACCTTTTTATCCTTTTTCCATCCTTAACACTTTTGCTGTACTCTCAGACACTTGCAGAATGACAAGCTTTCAACAAGCAGGCTCATCTGTCAGATGCAGGCTTGGCTGGTCCTGGAGCAGTGCTTCAGTTGTTGTGATTCCATAAAACAGGGTTCTCTATTACCCGTGCTACTGTGCCAAGATTCATCCCATTAAAGGCTGGAATGCCCTCTTCTTGGAAACAGATTGGACAGTCAATGTCTTTGTGTGTGTGTGTGTGTGTGTGTGTGTGTGTGTGTGTGTGTGTGTGTGTGTGTGTGTGTGTGTGTGTGTGTGTGTGTGTGTGTGTGTGTGTGTGTGTGTGGTGTGTGTGTGTGTGGTGTGTGTGTGTGTGTGTGTGTGTGTGTGTGTGTGTGTGTGTGTGTGTGTGTGTGGGTGGTGTGTGTGTGTGTGGTGTGTGTGTGTTGTGTGTGTGTGTGTGTGTGTGTGTGTGTGTGTGTGTGTGTGTGTGTGTGTGTGTGTGGTGTGTGTGTGTGTGTGTGTGTGTGTGTGTGTGTGTGTGTGTGTGTGTGTGTGTGTGTGTGTGTGTGTGTGTGTGTGTGTGTGTGTGTGTGTGTGTGTGTGTGTGTGTTGTGTGTGTGTGTGTGTGTGTGTGTGTGTGTCCTGTTCGGCAATATTGAGTCTTTTTTTCCCTTAAAAATAATAACATTTTTGGGGAAAAGACTTTGATTTGGTGCAACAAAAATGTGAAAACCTTGGTGTCAATCGCTCGCCGCTGTCACACATTAAACAATGATCACACATTTGACTAACTCTTATTTCCTTTCCTTTCTTCCCCTTCAGGGAAAAGCTGGCCGTGGCTCGCCTGCAGAGGGAAGTCGCACGGAGCAAGAGTGAAGGAACAATGGTAAAGTACAGTGCTGCTCCTCCACTATAATTTAAACTTAGCCAAAAAAGCCACAGTTTGGTCCTTTCACACACAGACACACACTGTCCTGCTGAGCCAAGCCGTACCATTGGCTAAAGCCAATCTTTAGTATCTCAACACTTCCAAAGTTGATCTTAAAGAACTGATGGAAAGTCTATTAAAGGTCACCTATTATACAAAATCCACGTTTTCATGTCTTTTATACATAAACATGTGTCTCCTCAACGTTAAGAGATTCTGAAAGTTTCAGGAAAAAAGACCCCCTCTCTTTTTGTCCTGATCCATTTATATATGTCTGAAAATGAGCTGAAACAGAGGGGTTTATGGGATGCTGCAATGATCTGTTTGATGTTTCAGCCTAACATACACGAGATATGACACCTATAATATATTGATGAAAAACAGTATAATAGGGGACCTTTAAAATGAAATGCAGTGTTATAGTAGCATCATTTAATAATACAAAATATCTGTTTGAAGAATCCAAGCCCTTGTCAGGTGTTTTAAAGTCCATGATACGGAGACCTTGTTGGACTTGATGTCATATTAGCAGTTGTTTTGGATCAGTTCCAGCCGTGGTGCTCCTGCACAACAGGTACTCTGATGCACAGTCATGCTTTGTAACATTATGAATCTGAGGCTTAAGCTTGTCAACACTGCATTGTGCCGAGCTTGACAGGATACCGCTGATATTGCGCTTTCACTCGTGGAAGCAGTGCCGAGAATTCAATAGGTAGGGATCAGTACGTGTACACAAGTGTATATTTTAGATTTCTCTTTGTCTCGGAGTGTGCTTACTGTACAGCATGTGTGCAGGTCAGAAAGTGAAACACGTGAGGATGCGGCACTGAGCTGATTGCCGGCTCTAACCAGCTGTTTGACTCTTTTTATGGCAGCAGGCCTAAAGCAACATACACTGTGAGAATTTCTCACTTTGTTTTGTGTTTCTCTATTGATCCTTGAAGCTGGAATGCTGTTTCTTTTGCTTCTGGCCTAACCACAGAGTTTAAGGTCAGATCACGGGTTCAGATACCGATTCCTGGAGTTCTTCAGTGGATTGCTCAAGGGCGCTTCAGGTTTGAAATCTACGGAGGGATCTACCACGTTATTTCTGTAGATTTTCACTACACACATTCACGTCGAGACAATCTCAAAATAGATGGGTTTTTCCAGTGTCAATGTTAAAGAGTGTGCAGTGACTCCGTGCAGATATGTTCAGGAACATGTCACGGACAGACTGATTCAGAGTAAAAGGAGATATGAGACATCCAATCCCCTGCCTTACTGACCTCTCTTTGACTCTTCCAATGCCGTCATCCATGTTATGTATGTGAAACGAGAAGGTTCGGTATTGATTTCCACGGTGGGGAGATATACGTGTAGATGAACGGAGTGTGTGCAACAAATCACTGCCAGACCATCAGAGTCATGTGGGCAGCTCTCCATGTCACTCCATGTTGGATAGTGGTAATACACATGGCTAAGCTGATCAGATATGGTCACTTTCACTCATCACTTTCACAAAAAAATTGATTTTATAACTCCTTTTCACCATCATCTTGTAGAATACTTAGTTGATACCACCTTTTCATTCTCTTTGGTACCTTATCCTACCTTTTTATAAACATCCTATTTTCTGTTAATATCCAAACCTCACCTTCTCCTGGCACACTAACCTTGCATCCTCTGACCTAAATATCACCCAAAAATAAACATATATCACCCTCTATGACACTCCAGTCTCAGTATGACATGCTTATTATGACTTTATAGACGAGTTTAAATTTTCTGCGCAATGCACAGGACTGAGAAAGCGAGGGATGGGTTATCTGTGCCAGACAGGAGGATGGTGAGGAATGGGGGTGTCTGAAGGAAGAAAGAAAGGGAGGAGGAGGGGGGGATATCACTAAGCTCCATTTGAAATTGGGATTATCCCCGTCGGAGTCCCCCTTGCACTCTCTCCCTGGCATTCCTCAGGCACGGCTCTTCAATAGAAACCGAAAAAGAGACTGCTGCATCAAGGAGATAATTGTCAGTGGGAACCAGCCTGTGCCCCGCAGACCCCCCCCCCCCCCAACACCCTGGCGCCCGTTTTATGCCCACTTCGCTTCCCCCAACCCCCATCTTTACCTACAGAGAGATCAAAAACAATCGTGGACTTTTTGAAGTGGCTCGGTATCTGATACCTTCCTCTCTACATCCATTAGTGTGTTCTGTGAAACGCGATCAGAAAGCGGAGGTGCCCCCCCCCATCACAGTCCTTGCTTCTTCTGTCCGTGGGGACGCACCATTACTGTTCCTCTGTGATGGAAAATAATGTATCTTTATGATTGTGCAAGTACACAATTGCAAGCCTCAGGTCTCACAGTTATACAGGCGTGAGTGTAAATGAAACAGCATTAACAGTTTACTGGGGAGCGTTTTGTCTGTAATTGGCTCTCCTGTTGTTAAACACAGAGCAGAGCAGGAGCACAACACTCTTTTGTTATGGATCATTTGGGAGAATCACATGAAACCTTTTAAATACTTTGCAATCGGAGAGTATATCCCATCATACGGTTGCATTTGTTTGGACTGATATACTCTAACAACCACCAGATCTTCTCTGATTGTTCTCCAACTTTATATCACAGTTTAGACATGGTGTGTCAGGGTTGAGTGAAGCAGGCAGGACCCAAATGCAGATTTCAAAGAAAAATACCTTTATTCCAAGGCCAAAGCGTCAAAAACAGAACACTACCCCGTGACACAGTCAAAGACAAACAAGGAACCAACAATGACAGACAGAAAAACCAGAACTTAAATACACACAAGACTAATCACACAAACAAGATACAGGTGAGGAGGGAGGAGAAAACACAGGGACACCAGGTGAACACAATCGGGTAATCGGGTAGGAGGGAAAACAAACAGAAAGCAACAGGCAAGACAGGGGGTGAACACTTTTCAAAATAAAACATGAAACCAAAGACAGAAAAAGACAAGACACAACACAGACAGATCGTGACATGGTTCTTTTGGCGTGCTCCGCAGACCGCACTCTTTAAAGGTCTCCTATCATGCAAAAAAATAAAACCCTCTCTCTTTTCCTCCATACCCAAATCTCTAAAAACGGGGGTACAACGGAGCTGATCCAGATTTGCTGCAGATATGACGAAATATCGTAAATGTGGACCCACGGCCCTGTCAGAAACGTCGCTATCAGAAACAATGCACAACGTTTTGGAAGTGATATGGTGTTTGTTTACATTGGCAAGCAGCGCTAACACTCAGAGCTAACCTGTACTGGAGAGAGTATGTGTAAAGAAGCAGGAAATTAAAAGGTACTCACCTTGTGGTAAACCCGCAAGAGAAGAAGCATTTGAGCTCCATACTGTTTCAGAAATAATCCTAGATGTGGTTTTGAACATGATATGGCATTTTTTTAAAGCTACAGATCCAGAATCAGTGTTTCTCTAACAGGGCTGAAATAGAGGGATATGAGGGATGTCTAAAATGCATGATCTGTTTGGTATTTTGAGCATAGACATGTTTCTTATATATTTGTATGTATCTGAGACCCATATTATATGCCTAAAAATAGCATGATAGGAGATCTTTAAAACCTGTATAAGAAAAACAGAGGTTTATCCCGATTGGGTGTTTGATAGAGCACAGGTCATGGTTTATTCTGCCTCCATCCACCTCCAACAAGCCTGCCCCTGTGTGACTCTCGCTGCTGTAGGTTTTTCTCTGGAATTCCTCACACCCCAAAAACCCAGAGGCGTGGTACAGGGCAGGGCTGCTCTCCGTCTCCCCGCTCTCTTTTGATGCCACTCTGAAGTGCAGGATGCCTGGTTTCCTGTCGGGGAGAAAACAGGAGGGCACATGGCGGCTCGTAAAGGCTGAGGCTCTCCATTTAAAAACGGCATTTAAAAACTGTTAGATTATGACCACTGGAAACGGCTGTCTAAACAACATGGGAAAATAAATGATCTGGCTTCGAGAGACTTTATTTTTCTTTGGGCTTTGCGGACGCTCACTGATGTCTGAGTTTAAACAGATACACACATACAGTAGATCCTCACATGGTTATTTTCCCGGGACGATAAATACATCGTGAACGATAAAGACATGTTTTGGCTTGCTTAATCGTGTTCTTATTTAAAATCTGATTTCTCTAGAGTATTTCATGTAGAAAATAAAGTTAAGATAAGAATGAAGCTGCATTTGTGAATATCAAGTGGGAGCGGGTGGCACAGAAGGGTGAAATAGGCCCTGGAGCTAGGATAAGAATTAGCTAAAAACAGATTTCTCATGCGCTACAGTCTGCATGATTCATGTGACATAGATTATAAAACTGCATCAAGGAAAGAAACTCGTTTAAAAAACGGAATGCCCCTCTTAATAAGTCATTTGGTAACAAAGTAAACAACACTGCATCTTTTCCTCATCTGGATCAAACCATGATTTAATTGGTTTTGCTGTAATTAAAGCATATCATGGTTTAATTGACAATGATTAATTCATGTACCATAAAAAGCAACTTTGAGGCTGGACATCTTTTGTAGTGTGCTCTCAGCAGATAAAGAAGGTTTTCGAGGGGGCTCCCAGCTTTTAAAAGACTGGGGGTCCTCATGGAGATCCGGCGCGTTGAGGGACCTTCTAAGAGCGTTCCTGACAGCTGTTTGGAGGGTGGGTGACAGCGTGGCGGTTTGGGGGGCACAGGGGGGAATCAGGTGCCGTCTCCGCAGATTGGCCTTATCAGCCACGGACAGCGGTGAGGGCCAATAAGACCCCCCCCCCCCCCTAATTCGCTGCACATTCACCAGGTGACAAGCGCTGACAGCCAGGCTCAAATCGCATCTCCACACTGTCCCTCTCACCGGTTTGTGACTGAATGACTCGCAGTGCGTGGGTTGGGGGGGGGGCTCCCTTGGCAATGATAAATGGGCCACTCGTATTGGTTTAGCATATTCCTGGGGTCTATGTATTATTTG